AATATAATAAATAATAATAAATAATAATAATAATAATAATAATAATAATAATAATAATAATAATAATAATAAGTAATAAGTAATAAGTAATAATAATAATAATAATAATAATAATAATAAAAATAACAAGATAATAGTAATAAATAATAAAAATAAAAATAATAATAATAAATAATAATAAATAATAATAATAAAAATAATAAAATATTATAAATAATAAATAACAAGAGCAAAAATAATTATAATAATAAGAAACTATATATTTTATTATTTTTTATAGGTTAATTTTTTTGATCATATCAAATTAATTATTAAATATTTATTATATAAGTATTTAAATCTTATTTAATATATATCTAGTAATAAATTAAATAATAACTTAATATTTTATAATTTTTAATTTTTATTTTTATATATTATATTTTATTTTTAATTATAAGAGAATATTATATTTTGAAAATATTATAAATAGTATTTTATAATATTATAATTATTATTACATATTTAATTATTAATAATAAACTAAAATAAAATTATTAATAAAGTATTTTTTCAAAAAATTTGAAATATTTTATAGTATTTTAATAGTATTATTTTAAAATAATAAATATATACTTGATACTTTAAATTAAAAAATAATAAAATCTATTTAAAAAATACTATATAGTTAGTTATACTAAAAAATAAAACTTTATATATTAAATTTTTAAAAAAATTATAATATTACTATTTCAAATTAATTAAAAATTTATAAAATTTATAAATAATTTATATTATTATTATTTAAAAATACTAAAAATAATATTCTTAATTATAAATTATATTAATATAAATAAAAATAAAATTAATCTAAATAGTGATTAATTTTATCTAAACTTTTATAATTTATTAAAATATTATATAAGAATAAAAATAAATTACTATAAATTTTATTATATAAATTTTATTATATAATTATTAATTATTTATTAATAATTTGATTAATATAAATTATTTTACTAAATATATATATATCTTTTTTATAATTTGTAAATTAAATTTACACAAAATATTTTACAAAATTATTATTAATTATTATACTTATTTTCAATAAAATTTATTATAAAAAAATAAGCCAGATTAATAAAAATTAAGCTTATCTTATTAAAAATATTATTATTAAGTAATTTTATTATTTTATTATAGGTAAAGTTATTTATTATATTACAAAGAATATATTTATTGTAAAATTTTAATGCAATTTCGCAAATTACTTAGTAAATTACGTAAGCGTAAGAAATTGTTTGCTCAATTATGCAAAAAAGGTTAGATCATGTGATTTTTGACAAAAAATGTTACTTGCAAGTTGTTCAAACTACATAATCTTAACACTAACCTAATCCTAAACCTTAACCGAAACGCTAAGAGAATAAAGAGAATACTGGATCGAAGACAGCTCGGAATCATATGATCCGACCTTTTTTACCATCACTTTGTTAAAATAATCGGTAATGAATATGAATGAAACCTTCTGCACGTGTATTCGCAAATTATCAAATTAATACGCGTGCTGAAAGAGCGCACGTTATTTTCAATACTTTAGAATCCCATTAAAAAATCAAAAATAAATTAGTCATTTATTATAAAGTAATTAAAAAATAAATTAATCTTTTACTATAAAGTAATTAACAAACATGCGAGAAAAAGAGCGACTAAAATTAAATTAGATATTATTAAACGATAATTAGTGAATTATAATATAATATGTGAAATTATTCCCACCCAAAAAGTTTATAATGAAAATTGAAGAGTAAAAAGAGCATTATCAAAAATTAACTAATTTTGACTTTCAACTATGAAACCATAAAAAAATGTACTTTTGAACAGCAATGAGACGAATAAAAGCATCACACAGGTGCACACCATATAGTATAGCGTACGTACGGGTTTTTATTTATGTATTGTTTATGATTATAATTCCCCAATGAAAAAAAAGTTTAGGCAGTCGATTCAATAACTGACGAATGAAGAGAATTATCTTCTTCTTTTTGCTTTTCTTTTGTTCTGTTTAAGGCCGTTTGTAAAGCGTTCAGCCATGCACGTTCAGCCTCCTCATTTGGTGCACATGCAATAAATGCGCGTTTTGGTGTAATTATTTTGAAGCAGTTTTTCTTAGATCTAGACATTGAATCTGTTTCTACGGCAACGAGAATTACATCCAGAGATATTACTCGAAGTGCCTCGCGTTCCTATTTATTGTAGATATGATAAGTATTAAATGATATATTTATAAAGATGGAATCTATAAATCAATTACCTTTTCATTCTTATAATAATTCAGAGTATTGGTCCTAAGTACAAACCATCTTTTTTTCCAAGTCTATTACGCATAAATGAAAATTAATTACGTTAAAAATATCGACTGAATAAAAGGGAAGGTTTTTAATGCGATAGAAAGCTAACCTTGTATCTGTTACTTAATTTATATAAATAACCGGAATATATTGTTTGACTATTTTCTGATTCATCACCGAAAATTCCAGCGCTATTTGACGGCAATCCCTCATATATGCCTTCATCATCCTCAGAACTAGCAGTTGGATCACTACTGTCTTTCCTTTCCGGTGGCGAAAAATTCACTGTGATAGGACTTGACGGTATTGAAGGTACATTTCCAAATGATGCTGCTGAAGTATTTGAAGAAATAGACGCATTGCCTTCGCCATTTGCACGAGCATGGTTATTCCCTTGAACAAAAGGTATATCAACAGCCATAGTATTTGTGGGTGACGCCGCAAGTGGTTTTTCCAATATTGTAACGGAGGAATTAACTCGAAGCGGCGGATCCCTAAAAGCCAATTTAGAAGATCGTTTTGGTGTAGCGATTCTCGCCTGCTTGGAAGCCATCTCTTCACTATCAGCCTGACTTCCTTCGTCTTCGTCTTCCAGCAACTCTTCCTCATCTTGGACTTGTGCACTTATTTTGTTCAAGGCATCAATCCATTCACTAAGCTCTTTTTTGTTGTTAGCTTGAATGTAGTATGTTCGCTTTGATGTGAATATTCCAAATACATTAGACTTGTGTTTAAGCTCTACTGGTGCGACTGCATGCACATCGTTCATATCCAAAATGCGAAGAAGTTCATATTCCTTCAAATTGGAAAATCAATTAAATAATTTGAATCGAAAAAGTTATAATCCCACTAAAAATCTAATTTACCTTCTCATCTTTATAATAGGCTAATTTCGTAGACCTTAGCACGAACCAACGACGTTTCCAATGCTATCAATCGTTGTTGTGAGATTTTGAAATATTAGAATCGTCCAACAGCATAACAACAACATTAAGAACCATATTCCTATAAAAAAGAAAAAGAATTAGACAACAAACCTTTCCTCGTACATTTCGTCTCTCTTGTTTTTTAAACAGATAGCCGGCTTTGACCAATTGTTCGTGCTGAAGTGTTTCTCGAGCCTCCATCGGTTCAAGATCTTCTGGCTCAGTTTCATAACCAACCCCATAATCCTGACTACCACTGGCTTCTTGTTCAGAATCGGAATTATCAGAAAGTGGTGTAGGGACAAACTATCAATATTTTTGTTATTGGAAAAATATTATTACTCAGCATTCAACTAATAGGTATCTTACGATGTGATGTGATGTGGTAATAATACCTTGGTTGGTTTATTGTTGTTGCGTAAAATGCTTGTTGGGGTTGTCATATTTTTATCACCGCTATTATTTTTAATATTATCAAGTGCTTTTCAATGTCGTTATTGTAATTCCCAGCATAATTGAAAAATTAACAATATGTATCGATAAAATAAATTGGCAAGAAAAAAGTTTGTTTGTAAATTTACCAGCAGATTTTTTATGTTCAACTGATGTCGTTATTGAAAGTTCTAGCATATTAATACGTCTTTCATTAGAGAAAATGTGAAAGAATGATATGTAATTTTATTAATATAAAGTAAATGAAAACAGGGGGGGAGGGGGGAGGGAGGCTTTGTAGAAAGAAAAAAGTATTTATTTGCCGAAGAAAAGTTTATGAAGATATATCTGTGTGTGTGTCTTTTGTGTGTTTGTACTTGAAAAAAAATTTCAGCCGAACTACGTAGTTAGTTCAAGATGATGTCAAAGAAAGGAGGGCAACTTGAAAAACTTTTTCGTACAGCCACACCTCAAGAAAGAAAGAGGATCGAGAACTTTTTCCTTTGACTGTTTTTTTACTTTATAATAATTAACAAAGACCAAGCGGATACTTCAGTGGATCTAAAGAATGTATAAAGTGAATATTTATTAGTAATATAGAGAAAATTTTATTGAGAATAAATACGTTACCAAAACAAACAAACAAAAGGTAAGAAACCAAGTATTGTAATACATGTACAATGCGGGGAACAGCGACTGATTTAACTCTGTCCACCTGAATGGTGCGTGTAACCTAGTCACAAATGTCATCCTAACTTTATTACCTCTTGTGTGTATTAACCGAGAAACAGGAAACAAAAATGCCTTCTCCTAGTCTACCACCCGAACTGTTGCTTCTGATCTTTGGTTACCTTAAGGACACAGGAGACATTCGTGAGCTCCTTTCTTGTGCTAGAGTCAACAAAAACTGGCATTACACGGTTACCCACTTTTTCATTTGGAACACGGCACGCTTCAAAAAAATCAAAACCTTTTTTGCCTTTCTTGATGTGCTTCGAAGAATTACCTGGACGAGGAAACAACGTGCGCTAGCAAACTGGTCAAAACTAATTACTGGGCTCTTGGAAAAAAAGAAAATTAAGCTTAAAAGAATAGACATTACATCAAGAACGCCTACTCAACCAACCACAGCTACACATTGGCACTCGACGTATCCTTACGGGTTTTCGGTCGAGACTCTTGATCTTTCACTATTGGAGCATAAGAATGGAGTCACGGACAGAATGCTCATTGAACTTTTTAATCAGACCCCGAATCTTGTCAAAGTTGACCTGTATAACTGTTATACGCTCACTGATAAAGCTATTGACGCGTTAACCATCCGTTGTCGTCATCTAAAGGAGTTGAGACTGTTTGGATGCACAGGTGTCACGGAGAGATCTGTGATATTCTTGCAACAAAAATGCCCGAGTTTGACAAAAGTTGATATTGGGTTGGTATATATCTATCTATCTATATCTATATGTATAGACAGATCATATGATAATGCATCGTTTATTATATCCTTAACTTTGTGTATTAACTAAACCACTTGATCTGTTTAGAATGTGTCATCACATAAATCTGTATACGCTTGATAAGGAATGGGCATCATTGAGACATCTTGATATAAGTTTTCGCTATGATTTCAAAGAAAGGCAAATCTTGGATATAGTAAAAAGGGTTCCAAATCTTGAATATCTGAATTTATTTCGATGTTCACTGGCAGATGGATTATTGAACTCTTTGCTTCCGCTACTACCTCGTCTCCGATTTCTTAATATAGGTCAATCCACATACAGCCTTTCCGATGAGGTTGCAAGAGCAATAGCAATGCATGTTCCAAATCTTCGCCAACTATCCATACAAAATTTAGAGATCACTTCCAAAGGAATCCTCGTCATAGCACAAAAATGTCAAAATTTGACTGCAATAGACATGTCACGATGCACAAAAATCACTGATATCGGAATAAAGTATTTGGTACGCTATGCGAAAAATATTAACGACATCAATTTACTGGGATGTACCCAGTTAACTGACATTGCATTCGCATCTCTCGGTGAGCTCGGTGAGAAGTTGGATCGCGTAGTTGCGCATTTTTGTGAACTGACAGACGTGGGGTTGATTTCATTCGTGTCGAGATGCTTTAATTTGAAATGCTTGAACTTGGAATATTGTAAGTATCTTACGAGTGTTTCATTGGGACGATTGCCAGAATTTTGCAAATCTTTGGAGGTACTCGATATTTCTGGGTCTTGTATTGATGATGAGGCCGCTCGCAAAATTTTGTCGGGACTTCCTTCACTCAACATGTTGGTCATGAAAAATTGTGAGCATTTAAGTGATTTGTTCAAAGATGAGTTTGTCGGTGATAAAAGGTTACAGATATGCAATAATGTTCCAGGAATGGATCAATATCGCCTTTGAGATTCTTTGCTGGCTTGTCGATTAAAGCATATATATAAACTTTATATTTTGCTTAAAAAAGCATGTGTAATCAAGATTAAAATTCATCAATCATGAAACGATTATATACTTTGGCTGGCAAAAATCAACACATTAGAAAAATTTACAAGCATGGATCTACTACTACAACATGGCATTGAGAAATGTATACACCCAATTTTTATTTGATTTGAAGTAACAAAAGCGAATAAGTTATCTAGTAGTCTATCTCTATAGAAGGATTAAATAACTTCAGGATCCTCTACTTCCTCGCCTTCCCCTAAGTGGCTAGTCCACTTTGGTCTCCAGAATTCATCATCATCAACATCATGGCTAGCCTCATCTTTAATAGTCTCTCCACGACGCGTTAATATCTTATTGGCCGGAAACCAATGCCAGCACGTCTCACTGAACGTTTCGTCAGGCCATAATGTCTTATCGGTCGAGCTGACCGAAGGAAAAGGCAAGCAATCAAGAATGGTTAAAGCGTATTAATTTTTTGGTTAAGGAATAATAATCATCAGCATTATCAATATAAAATATTAATCAAGAAGTTAGAAATAATTATTTTAAGAAGGATATTGAAGATAAATATGGTGCTTTCATTTTGAATTTCGCGGAAGGACAACTACATAAAATTTAGATACATTTTGAAAATCAAATGAGATATCAAATGCGAATGCATTAAATTAAAAAAAAATACCGTTCCGCATAAAATTCCAGTCGATTCCCTATTAGTAACAAATTAGTTAAATTATATCTTTGCCAATTTGCGCCAATCACATTATTATACAACCCAATTGGGCAATGCGGCATATAGAAGAGTGTAGGTTGGGTTATTATACGCTTTGCTTTCTATTAAACACAAAAGCGAATGATGATGTCAGTGAGTATATTTAATAATTCGAAAAATAAACATAAGATTACCTCGTTTTCTTCGATCAATATTATCCCATAGTACACCAACACTTCGAAATCCAACGATGTTAATATCGGATCATATATATATACGGATCCTGATATCTTCATTTCAAACAATAAATATCCATAAGAAATTGTAGAGATAAGGTAAACGTCTCATTGAAAGGAGTGCATATAAACTTGCCTGAAATAAATCTCGGAGTAATAAGAGCAATGAAAATTGAAATTGAGTAATACGTGAATCTTTTATACTACCAATTCCATAACAAACTATATCTACAAGTGACGATCTAACAGACGAAGAAAGAGAAGCTTGTATTGTGTCTGCTTGATTGAATTATTAAAAAAAATCCAAATTCAAGTCAATTAACATAACTTATCCCACCCGACAATACCAAATACCTTTTAGCTGCTGGTAGAACCGACTTTCATTTAATGTAGTTCTACATAATTAAGTTTCAAGATTAATCGAGAATGATTTATTCAGAAAAATAAAAATTCTAATACTTTTTGTCCTCGATATCAAGTATGAGATCTTGTGCCGTTTTCTCTTTAAATTTTTTGATTTTTTTGTGTCGCATTTTCAACGTTTACTGCTGCAATATTAGCTAAATTCGGCCATTGGTGAATTTTAAATATCATAGTACAAACCCATGGTTTGATATTCTTAGAAGTTGGTTTAAAACCAAACAGATTTCAAGTCAATTGAAAAGACAATCTAAAGAAATAAAGATGCAAAGTACGAGCCTTTATTCTCTTTGCCTTACTGCTTACATAAAACATGTCTTCAAAATTGTTCCATTTTAAATTTTTGAGGAAACAGTATATTGTGATTGTGTTCATGGTAAGGTGAAGAAAATATTCTGTATTTTACGAAATTCCAAAAATCACAAGGTGATGGATTATATGATTCTGTCGCATTCACGATAGTAACTACTTCCACGTCAAAAAACCGTTTTCATTTATACAGATCGAATTCCCGTAATTCTAATTAGAAAACGGCTGGACCCGAGTACAGGATACAATTGAGAACTGGCGGATGAATCCATTTAATTTGTTATCGATTAACGAGATCATATTAACTTTCAAAGCAACAACAATAGTTACAAAAGCTGTTGAAAAAGTGGTGACCATTCTCCAAGTTACATAATTCCATTAATTCTGATATCGAATGATGATGACGCACTTGGAGACTATTCATTCCAGTATTAATAGTTGATTCATCACACGGCAAAAGTGTAAATTAAATGACGAGCAGGATAATTATGGACTGCGCCCAAAAAGCGTTATATTAGATCTGAGGCGTCACCATCGCCTAAAAAAAATTCGACTGCAAGCCCGCAACAAAGCCCTTGAAATATTGGTTAATGCTCATCAGCATCATTATTATTGTTACTACCATCATCATGATATAAAATCAATAGTCAACTTATTGGATACATTATTGTGTTAAAAGCGTTAATAAATCAATATATATATCTCGTTTAAATCGAATCTATGAATTACGAAAGCACGTATCAAATGTTATCTGTATACACAAGAAATCAGTGTCAATGCAGAATTAATAAAATAGAATTTATCATTTTAAAAATAAAAATGCATACCAATAAGAAGTTTGTTGTATTTCGCGATTTTAGAAGCAACTGACAAGTCGATTGTTTTTTCGGTTCCGAATTCAATAATTAATCCTCCAAGAATCGAAGGGTCAACCTTTTTTGTGGATATTCAATTATTAGGGAAATTCAAATTATTTTATAAAGAGAAACATCCGCGTTTTTTCTAAATATAATTAATTTACCTTATTTTTGATAATAAGTTTTTTGCTCGACGCAAGTTTGGTTTTGTTAAGTGTCTTTTCCAAATGACTCAATGTTCCTGATTCAAGTGACTAAAAATAAAAAAAATTATTACGCCCACACATGATTGATTGAATATATAAAAAAATCAAAAAAAAGAGAAAAATAATACTTTTGCCGAAATAATAGTAACAGGCACTTCACCACGATGAGCAGTCATCAACGTCAAATACGCATCAATAATCTTGTGCGATTTCCCAAGTCGCCCATTTTCCGCCAACACATCAAAGAAATTCTTTGTAATATCGGAAATTTTGCCTTGTTTCGACAGAACTTTGTGCACGCCCTCTTTTTTATTTGCCGGACTCAACGATGGGTCCTCGAGAAAATTTAAGAGTTTAGAATCGTTTTCAACGACCAACTTTACTTGTTTCAGTTCTGCTTCCACAGTTTCCAACGACTTGTTTTTTGCTGCAGCACCATAGAGTGCTGTCGCGTAGCGACCTTCGATGCCGAATAACGTTATTGGGATCTTTTAAATTTTTTTTTATTTTTGATTAAGAATCATTAACCGTTCGAGTTATTTATTGAAAATGATCAATGAAACAACTACCTGTACTTTTTGGGCCGCTGGAGCTGCATATGCTCGAGTCAACTACAGCATATAAAAATAATTTTCTATATTATTGTGACCGAAAGTGATGTTGTATCTTTTTAATTTGATATTAAAAATTTTATTCACTTACTAATAATAATGTACCTTTGGAATAGACGACGAAGAAACACGCTGAACGAACTTTAATGAATTGAGGAATGCCATTTTTCTTTTGACGAGCAAGATAACTGGTGGTGATTAAAAATTCAATCTTTTTATCTTGTGTGTCACACAATACATGTTGATCTAGAGATGTGCACATTATTTTTTGGTTGAAAAAATTTCATTTTACAATTAACGTTAAAAATGTTTGGGTATGTTTTGTTATACCGTCTGTCTTGTTTACGAATTCATGAATCATGTTTTATTAATTAACAAATTATCGTGATTTATACATTAATCAAAGTAATCAAAGTAATCAACAGCAACAAAGCAAACCAGCCACAACCTTTGGTGGTTTTGGAACAGGGAGTTTGAAAAGTTCGACATCCACTACAATGACTCCATTCAGTCTAAACAAGCCACAGACACAAACATCAAATATATTTGGTACATCAACAACTTCAGTACCCACTTCATCTACTGTTTTCTCGTTACAACCTTCTACTACACCCGCTACATCTACTGGATTCTCATTACAACCTTCTACTACTACATCACAACTACAATCGAGCATTTTTTCCTCTTCATCTTTAGCTCCTTCCACTGCTACAACTGGAACTACTGGAACAATGCCTACCACGATATCGGGGTACTTTTTCGTTTTATTCAAATAGATTGATGAGGAATTCAGTTATACATTTTTCTTCAATTTATTTAGACTACCTATTTATACAGAGAATAATATAACTTCAATTACATTGGACACAAAATTTCATCAGCTTCCTGAATCTGCGAGAAAAAGATTGATGGAGATGGCGTATGTATTATTATTATGATTACCGTTGTTGCGTATCTGTTGTTAATTGATGGGATTGATCTGTTGATCAACATTTTTTTCAGAAAAGAAATTGAACGACACAAAGAAGTAATGCTGTCAATTGACAACTCATGGCCAGATGTGAAAGAAACGATTCAGTCTACGAGAAATACAGCGCGAAATGTGGCACAGGTAACTTACCAATATGCAAGAATAATTATTGTAAATAGAAATTTAATACTAAAAAAATTATTACCATTTATTTACAGCATATACATGGCCTGACCGAAAAACTTGAAGCGTCACGTCGTCTCATTAATGACTTATGCCAAAGTCTAGTCCGGCAAAAAGTTTATCATGATAATGCGCGGGACGCAAGTTTGTCCACCAGTGATACGGTGTTTCAAAAGTGAGGGATTTTGCGGATTTTTTTTATCTTTTTTTTTTAGGTTATTCTGATTGATCTCAAGTTTATTCATAGGTATCTTCGGGATACTATATTATCAATGGAAGAACGAATCGAGCAGTATGATCAAAATATTGAGGTGTGCCATTATTTAACCATTTATCACCCTCTCTATATTGGAAATTATTTAATATCATTACTTTAAATAAATAGGAGCTCGATCGACACATTTCTGCAATAATAAATGCAACGCAGGGAGAAGTAAGCCCCAATTGTATCTATTACCTATCTATCCTACCATTATTATTAGTTTAGTATTCATTTTTTTTGATATCTCTAATAATGCTATTATTAATTATTTAGCAATCACAGAAACAATTCGCCTCCAACATGAGATATTTATGGTTGTAACCGGCAAAGTAGCAACGATACATGAGTCGGTTGAGAGACTACGGAAAGAGTACCTAATCAATTTTAAGGAAAATTAGGTTAAGATTAGGTTTAAAATCATAATTATATAAAATTGCCTCGTCGTCATTTTTAGGCATCCGTTTTCTGTATTTTTCGTTTTGCTGTGAAAATCCGCGTATTTTTATTGGCTACTGAATGATGCCCAATAAGAAATTAAAATTTTTAGCACCGCGCAACTGAGTCATAAATATTCGCATTGACTAATAAGCTCATAATCTCATGAGAAATTTTGGATTAGATTATTTTTTATATATAGAACTTTTATCTAGCATCTATGTCTTGAGTGATTAAATAAAGTTGTTTATAAGAATTGTATTAATATACAGATATTATAAAATTATATTAATAAAAGTATTATTTTATAATTAAATTTAAATATAAAATATTTTATCTAAATTTTAATATAATTAATAATAATTATTTTTTTGATTATAATTTATCAATAATAACTATTATACATTGATTATAAATTAATAATTAAAAAAAATTGATTATAATTGATTTTAATTAATTAAAAAAATTAATTATTATTAATTAATTAGATAATTGATAATATATAAAAATATAAATATTAAATATTAATTAAAATAATTTTAAAATTTTCTGATAAAATATTTATAAAATAAATTTTAGAGTTTTATTAAAATAAACTTATTATAATTATTAATATAATAAAAAATTATATAAAATTCTTATTAATAAATAATTTTATTAAAACTTATTTAAATATTAAAGATAAATTCTTGATATCTAAATTATAATTTTATATAACAAAAATAAAAATTAATCAAAAGATATATTTAATTAAAAAAATTATAAAGTTTTAATATTTATAATTAATTAATATTATTAATATAAATAGAATTTAAATAAAATAAATAATATAGATGAAATATTTTAATATAATAGACTTTATTATTATTAAAAATAAAAAAATAAAAAATAATTCAAATTTAAATAATAAAAAAAAGATTTAATTTATATATATTTATTATTCTAATTAATAATTTAAAGTTTTTTTTAATAATTTTTTAAAAAAATAAATATTTAAAAAATTTTAAAGAATTATTATTTTAATATAATTAAAAAATAAATAAAATAATAATCTTTGTATAATTATTCAAAATATAAATAAAGAATTATATATTATTTTATAATATATAAAAAATTAATTATTATATAAAATTTTTAATTGTTATATTATATAATTATTTATAAATAAATATAAACTAATATAAAAAGATTAATATATTAATATAAAATTAATAATTATTTCTAATAAAAATTATTTAAATTTTTATAATTTTTTTATATTAAATAAAAAATAATC